GGGCACATCCCTTTTTAAAGGTGTAGAAGTTCGTTATTTGTGTATTAGATGTAGACGTAACCACCTGGCCTACTTATCAGATAGCATTTGCTGGCAACAACGGAGTCGGCTGTGCTGTCAAGGAATGTTCTGATAAAGTTCTGGTAGCTTGTGACTACAATTACGGGTATGCCTACACATATTGTGTGTTCTCAAGCAAATAGTTTGATTTTCAGGCCAGCTGAAGATATTCCTCCTTATTTGAAACCGGATGAATACGAACAATGCAAAGCCTCAAAAGAACTTCAGCAGTACTATCGATGCGGCATAGAGGACGTAGAGATAAATAGTGCATGAAGACTATTTCAGTAAAGATTCGAATAAAAAGTTTCTCAAAGTTGGAAAAACATAAATAACAATTTTGAAAAAAACGGAACACGAAGCAGTGTTTAAGTGCGTTAAGGCTTACAATTTAGAGGAAACTTCACATGATAAATTTGTGATGCTAAGTTACGACTAACTGATGAAATCGAAATTAATGGCAAAAATTCATCGTCTTCGTCAGTACGCAGTACCTGCGCTAATTTTTTTAACAGCACGCAAGAAGAGTTGCTAAATTGCTGGCTTTTGTTTTATTCTAGAAGCAGCTGCAAGCCAAAGATGTTGAAAACACGTATTGGAAGCGAGCCCTCTAATACCAGTACTACCAGTGTCACTAGTAATTGTAAAGCACAATTTACTCTTTTTCCTAATTTTTGCAATAGGAGTACTCCGGAATCACGAGTAAAGCGCTTGACACCACTTGCTCTCCCATAGCTTTTTGACCACAGAACCGCTCGGCTTTATGCTATGTTTGCGTTTTGAGGTGCCAAGGCTTAGGCCAGATTATACAGATTACATTGACGATCTAAACGCTGCATTTTCACTCTTTTTGGGGAAACTAGCAAACGGCGCATGATCATTCCGTCGTTGATGTAACATGTGCGTGTAAAATGGCGTACCTATCAGGGCCAGCCTAGTCAACGCAACAACTTCCGCCGCCTTGCTTGTAGGCTATAATCAGCTGGAGAGAGAATTGGTGTGACCGAGATCATCTATCCTACACGTACTCAATGCAACCATTTTCACAACGATTGCTGAACTAATTATTAAAAAACGTAGGGCCTATTATCAAGCTTTTCTGTCTTAATGTAGCAAGCGCGCTTATACTACACAATTCAGAATCCACAGTGTTCCAGAAAACTTCACAAG